GGGGGGGGGGTAGTGTGTGTTCATGCGGGCCAATTAAGGATGAAGGAAGAACTCATAGGGGCGGGTTATGTGAAGCAGATACATACTTCTTTTGAATGTCAGATGGACAAAAGTGAAGTCTATCATAGTCCAGCCCACATTCGCCAATCGCAACCACCTTGTTTGAAATGAATTTTGTCGTCAGCAAAGTAAATAAATAAAAATATACTAGCATTATTTATTTCAACTTCTAGGCACCAGGGAGACAAGTCAGAATTGAAATAGCTCCAAACTTGCTAGCCAATAAATATAAAGATTCATTCAGAAGTGTATTTTCACGAGGGAAAAGGAATGAATCACATGATGAGCGACTGAGCTATATTATCAGAATGCAAATCATATACAAATTTGCATCTTATAAGCAAATCTTTGTCTAAAAAACTACTTACAGACTTCACTATTTGATCACCTTCTACACTAGCACAATAATAGGAAGTTAAAGAAAGTTGATCTCCAAATGTGTTAGGCCCTTATGAGATTATCCAATTCTTTAATTTCATGAAGCTCTTCTTTGGGCAAAATCTTTTCCTTCTGTGATTTGCAGGCTACTAAAAACCTCAAATCAGTTAAAGGATGAACTTAAATTGATCAAAATTTCACATCTTAAAAGTGTGCAAATGATTAAGTATTATTTTGGTTATACTAATGTCATTTTCGGAGAAAATCCTTGTTGAAAAGTTTGGAGGAATTAACAACATGACCAGTTAACCAGGAGCTTAAGCTGCTCAGAGTTCACACATTAGAAAGTATAATATTAAAGCTTGCCAAAATTTGCTAAATTGAAAGAGCATTTACTAAGAAGGTGTAAATTGAATGAATCCATAACCTTATATATAACGAAATTGAACGTACTTTTCCTTTTTCTATTCCCTCTTTAGCCAATGTCAAAAGATCCTGCAAATGCTTTTCTGGATCCCCACTGTCTTCAAATTCCTGATTGAGCACAGAAGAAGAAAATGACAAATGCATCCAACATATATGAACGGGTAGGCCATTAGATAATATCAAGAGTCAAACCCACTTTGCATCTTGTTGGGTGCACGCCCACAGTACAGAAAAGTCTTGCTGCAAAAAGAGTTAGTTCTCAAGGTCAAACGTGCCCATACATTTGAGAAGCCAACTCGCTGAAAACAAAGAACACTAGGAAGAGTAAACTGGCTGAATAAGGGACATATGGACAACCATCTGTTTCCGCAATTGCAAGAGCTTCCTTTGATTCTTCAAGAGAGCCACCAGTTACCTGGAAGAAACATTTACAGCGAAAAAATACTCTTAGAGCAGGGAACATTTTTTTAATCAATAAAATAAAAGATTTTTCTCAATAAATTTCTCCAGCAACAACAAAAACAAACCTAGTGAAATCCCATAAGTGGGGTCTAGGGAGGGCGTGCGTATGTAGACCTTACCTCTAACTGGGAAGGTAGAGAGGTTGTCTCCGATAGACCCTAGACTCAAGAAAAGATATAAAGAAGCAGTAACAATAATAAGATACTAAGAAATCGAAGGGAAAGATAGTAAGAAAATAGTAGGTAATAAAGCAATATAAGACTAAGGAAGATACCAGACAAACACTAATACTAGTGGTATGGAAGAAAACGCTCGATTACCTACTAACCGTCTACCCTAATTCTCGACCTCCACACCCTCCCATCAAGAGTCGTGTACTCGGTAAGCTAAAGCAGCGGCATGTCCTGCCTAATCACCTCTCCCCAATACTTCTTTGGCCTACCTCTACCTCTCTTCGTACCCACCAAGGCCAGCCTCACACCTCCTAACCGGGGCATCTGTGTTTCTCCTTTTCACATGCCCGAACCATCTTAGCCTCTCTTCCCCCATCTTGTCCTCCACGGGGGACCACTCCCACCTTTTCCAAAATATCTTCATTTCTAATCTTATCTAGCCTCGTATGCCTACACATCCATCTCAACATCCTCATTTCAACTACTTTCATCATTTAGAGAGTTCTTGACTAGCCAACACTCTGTCCCATACAACATAGTTGGTCTAACCACCATTCTGTAGAACTTACCTTTCAGTTTTAGTGGTACATTATTATCACACAAGATACCGGACGCGAGCCTCCATTTCATCCACCCCATTCCGATACGATGTGAAAAATCCTCATCAATTTCCTTGGATTACTGAGGTATGTCTCCAAACCTCCAGCCTCTCGTTAACATTGTCTCGCGTCTCATCAATCAGGACTATGTCATCCGCAAATAACATACACCATGGTAGGCTACAGACACACCTCTAGACTCCAAACATCTCCATAGAATCTCTCTAGAGACTGTTGTGCGTTTTTTCTAGGTCAATGAATAATATATACAAGTCCTTCTTCCTCTCCCTATACTGCTCAACCAATCTCCTTACAAGGTGAATGGTTTCTGTAGTGCATGAATCGGAGCTGGTTCTAGAAAATAGACACACCCCGCCTCACTCTCACTTCTACCACCCTCTCCCAAACTTTCATAGTATGGCTTAGCAGCCGATACTCCTATAGTTGTTGATGTTTCGGATATCACTCTTGTTCTTCTACAACGAAATCATCATACTTCATCTCCATTCTTCGGGCATCTTCTTCGTCCTAAAAATGTCATTAAACAACCCAGTGACCCATTCCAAGCCTTCCTTACCCACGTTCTTCAAGAATTTCATCGAGATATTGTCTGGCCCAATCGCTCTTCCTAGCTCATCTTATGCATAGCCCCTCGACCTCCTCAACTTTTATGCGCCTACAATACCCAAAATTTTGATGACTGTCGGAATGCTCAAAAGCACCCACCATAATGTTCATGTCCCCCTCTTCAGTCAAGAGTTTATGGATGTATCTCTGCCATCATCGTCTAATCTGTGCCTCCTCCATCAAAACTGTCTTCCTCGTCTTTGATGAAGCTAATAACAAATTTACCATTTGATGCCAGATTATAAAAGAGAGAACATGATGTTAATTAAAAGGAAAGAAATATACTCCCTCCGTTTCAATTTATGTGAACCCATTTGACTGGGCACAAAGTTTAAGAAAAGAAAGAAGACTTTTGAACTTGTAGTGTAAAATGAGGCACATATAGCTTGTGTGGCTATAAATCATTGCATAAAGGCAAATTGTTTCCAAATAAGGAACGGGGTCATTCTTTTTGGCACGGATTAGAAAGGAAATAGGTTCACATAAATTGAAACAGAGGGAGTAGTTTTTTTTATCATTCTGTCTACATCCAACATATCCACAAGATGAGTGTTGCAGAAATGTCAATGTTGCATGGATGTGCGATGATGCAAGATCGGACAAAATTAGAATGATCATATTTTGTAGAAAGGTGTAGGTAGCACACATGGAGGATAAAATAATTGAGAGTCACTTCAGATAGTTTGATCATGTCTTATGTCGCCCTCCAGACACACTAATCTACAAGTGTAAAACCATGGTGTTCAAAGGTGTTAAAAAGGGACAATATAGGTCTAAAATCACATGAAGGTAATTATATCGAAGGACCTACAATATGCCGGAATCCATGCAAACTTAGCACAAAATATGTCACAAGTGGATGAAAAAGACCCATATAGGTGATACTAATTAATTGAGATTACGGTTTAGTTTTCTAGGAATATTTGAGTCTTCTTAGAGATTTGTATGCCAATAGAAAACTTAAAGAATTTCTATTGCTAGGGAACCTATATCTTCATATATTTGATTGATACGGGTCTAAATGGAGCAACATGGTTAATGAAGATTCATACAGATGATCCCAACTAGCTGGGGATTGAGGCATAATTGTTGTTGTAGAACAAGTCCAGTAATTAATCTTCCTCGCTAATATTGAAAAAAGAGATTTCTAGTACTAGCATAAGCTTATTGGAGAAAATGCTTTAATACTCAAATCTCCATATGAACAACAATTAGGTTTATTAGGACTTGGTGTTAATAATGTGGACAAAAAGTTAAATGAGAGATATTACTGCTGATATATTCCTCTAACTACATCAGTGCAAAGTCAATGACTGAAGTAACAAAACTAAAAGAAAAATGGATGCCAAGGGTCGACAACATTAATACCAACAAATTACATGTTAAGTTAAACATCCTCCTATTTTCAAGAAAGCATGGCCAATGATTAAAGAAGAGGTATATGCAGCACGGGTGATGTTTCCAGCAATTAATTGCACCACCATTACTCTACTGCCTAAAATTCCTAATCCAGTGACAATCAAGCACTTTAGACCTTTGCCTGTTGTACAATGTTATACAAGCTTATCTCTAAAGTCATTGTTGGCAGATTACAGAAGATAATGCCATACATCATCTCTGAAGCCCAAGTAGGTTTTACCCCTGGGAGAAAGATAGCGGATAACATCATTCTAGCTCATGAGTTAGTCAAGGCATATTGCAGGAAACATATCTCCCCTCGATGCATGCTGAAGGTTGACATGATGAAAGCCTATGACTCTGTGGAATCAGTATATTTGGAGCAATTATTGGAGTATCTATGCTTTCCCACAAAATTCATTGAGTTACTCAATCATGATCAATGGTGAATTGACAAAGCCTTTTGAAGCTGCCAAAGGACTTAGACAGGGTGACCCCATGTCACCATTTCTATTTGCAATTGCAATGGAATACCTAAGCAGGCTACTTAAAGGGTTGAAGCAAGCTAAGGAATACAAATTCCATCCAAGGTGTGGCAAGCTCAATATAACTCACCTCAGCTTTGCAGATGATCTACTGATGTTTGCCGGAGGTGATAGTAAATCAGTTCAAACGTTACATGCTTGCTTCAAACAGTTTTCAACAGCATCTGGACTACTAGCCAACCTCACTAAAAGTGCAATCTATTTTGGTGGAGTTGCACAGAATGTAAAGGTGGAAATTTTGCAAAACACTGGCTATTCACCTGGGGATTTGCCTTTTAAATACCTGGGAATTCCTTTGGATACAAAGAAGTTAACAGTTGTGCAATGGCAACCACTGATTGAGAAAATAGTTGCAAGGATCTCCTCTTGGATAGCTCGAAAGTTGTCTTATGCTGGTAGGGTATAGTTAGTACGGACAATGATATTTGGTATTCAATCTTATTGGTCCCAAGTGTTCATATTGCCAGCTAAAGTGATAAAATTAATTGAGTCCTATTGTAGAAGCTATATATGGTCAGGCACTAATACAATTACAAAAAAAGCATTGATAGCATGGGAGAAAATGTGTCTGCCTAAATCAGCTGGAGGTTATAATCTACTAAATCTTCGAGTGTGGAACAAGGGAGCCATCACTAACATCCACTGGGATTTGGCACAAAAGAAGGACAACGTTTGGATAAGATGGATTCACACATATTACATCAAGGGGCAAAGCATTATGGAAATGAATATACCTCAACAGGCAAGCTAGATGGTGAGGAAGATCATGGAGGCAAGGACAGTAATACAACAAGTGCCAACAGACAAACAAAGACAGAGTATTACTAAGCAAGTGTACCTAGGACTACTGGGAGACTGCAGCAAAATGGCATGGAGATCCTTAATGTTTCACAATGAAGCCAGACCTAAGGCTGTATTCACAATGTGGATTCAGTGCCATGGTAGACTGTTAACAGCAGATAGGTTAACTAGATGGGGAATTCAAGTCCAAAATGTAGCTTATGTAGTAGTGCAGATGAATCACATTCACATCTATTTGATGAATGCAGCTTTTCCAGAACAGTATGGTGGAGACAAATTAGCAACTGTCCAGCAAATACTTGTATAATGTCCATTATGTTCTGCTTATAGTATAGGGTATAGTGATAGATGTATGTAAAGAAGTAAGCAAGTCGAGGATGACTTTGCTGATTTGTAATGACTTCTTTGGTGATTAATGAAAAATATAATTACCAAAAAAAAAATCCTCCTATTTTCTCTTTTCCTAGTGGCACTAAACTAAGAAACATGATTTTACAATTAAATATTCCATCTTTTAGTACACTTTTAAGTGGAGAATCATTTGGGTTTTCACACATCAGAATTGTTAGACAAATTTTTAATTAGAAGTGTGAAACTTTATGTGCAATTTAATCCAAAAAAACAAAACTTGGTAAAAGAATTGTAGAAAAAACTCCACATTCTTTATAGCAACAATATTCAAACAAATCCAATCAATAATCATAACATGAATTTGGAAATGCAAAACAGTAACATGTAAATAACAAAGAGAAATTGGGAAGGATTTACAATTATGCGATCAACTCCAGCGCTCCATGCCCTCTTCAGCACAGCTTGAATGTCCCCCATATGATATTGCTTCCCATTGTATATCCCTTTGAACATGCTATCTGAATTTGTGGAGTTTTCTTAGAATTAAGACAAAGAAAACAAAAACTTGACTGCATCTTGGAAATATGTGGCAGCTGACTCACCAGTAAAATTTACGGCTATGTCTGCTCAAAAAAAATCTAGTTAGATAAGGAGAGTATATTGATTACGACAAATTGACGCGGAAAAGAGATGCAGTACATCACCTATCATTCGTACCGTCGCCATGGCAGCTGAAGATGCTTTGGTCGGAAAAATACTTGCTTTTTATATTATTTCTAACAAGTTTCGGCTCTCTGAAATTGCGAAAATAGCACATTAGTCCAGTGTTTTATTGTTGTTACAACTTGAATGCATAGTCGAAGTTTTGGGCCTTCCTCGCGAGTCGCTATCGGGCTTGTAAAAATAGCACGGTCTAGCCACTTTTCGGATTGGTCATTCAAAAATAGCTAGCGTTTATCAAGTTAATGAAAAATACCCACTATTTTGCCGCAACAGAGACCGGTCGAGCATAATATACTGGAGTTTGGTGCACCTGTGTATGAATTTCCAGCATATTATGTTGGAACTTCAACACACGGAAAGTTCCAGCATAATATACTGGAGATTCGAGCACTTGTGTATGAACTTCCAGTATATAATACTGGACCAGTATACTTTGCTGGAACTCCAGTATATTATGCTGGAATTCTAGTGTACTTATCCTGGAACTCCATCATATAATGTTGGAGTTCCAACATACTTATCCTGGAACTCCAGTATAATATGCTGGAGTTCAAGTATACTTATGCTGGAACTCCAGCATAATATACTGGCGTAATTTTTCGGGTTTTGAACAGTGTTTTCGCTCAGATTTATCTTTACATGAAAAAGTGGCTAAATTTCGATTACTTTTGAAACTGGGCTATTTTAGAACTCTCACTTATAAATTTGGCTATTTTTGAATTTCTCCCGGCTAGCTTCTCCTTGAGTTGAGCTTACTAGTATGTAAGGGGATTTGCCCCTATAAAACATTTTCAGAAAAGGGCCAAATATGTCCCGGTACTATCGAAAATATTTTAAATATACCCTTCGTTATACTATCTGGTTATATAAGACCCTACCGTTATACTATAAAACAAATATACCCTTATTTTTAACGGAGTGCGTGGCTTCACCAGATTAAATTGACCCATTCCTTTCTTTTTTAACCCGGTTCACTTGCAAAAAATACTACCCGACCCAAAGTCCATCCCCATTGTTTCTCTCTCTCTCTCTCTCTCTCTCTCTCTCTCTCTCTCTCTCTCTCTCTCTCTCTCTCTCTCTCTCTCTCTCTCTCTCCCCTCCTTTTCTCATCTCTTCTCCTCACCTTACTGTAATGACCATGGCTGGAATCTCTACCGGCGAACTAGCCCTAAATCATGGAGAACCTTTAAATTTGTCACCTCACACCTTCTCTTCGCTTTCTCTACACCTATATACACATTTATAAACGGATCTGGAGAAATACATAAAAGAGACCGGAGATCTGAAAGTTTTGGGTCTGGATTTTATTGGATATGGCCGGAATACATTTTTCCGGTAAGTCATCTGCTCTCATTTTTCACATTTTCCTTTTATTTTACGGATCCGGAAGAGAGACGAAATGGATAGCCGAAACTCTGACCTCGGTGTTTGGTCAGAATCTTGCCGAAGAATTTCCGGCGACCTTTGTGCACATGTTCCCTCTGTTCGCTGCTCCATTGTCTAACGCCTTTGTAGCAGCGTCTCAGGCGACTTTTATTGTCTATCTGATGGTTAGTTCATTTTTCAAAACCAATTTTTTGAGTTATGGTATCGAATTAGTCTAACTGGTTTTGAAAATAGATTTTAATTTTGAAATCTGCCAGAATCTTGATATCCAAACTTATTAAATTGCTAGAGAAATTGCAATTTTTTATTATTGCCATGGTCTCATCGACAGTGTTGGTATTGCTTCATCGGGTTTTACTAACTTTGTATGGTCTATTTTGATGTTTCTATATAAGCCTTTTTTTATGGTTCCGGCAAACCTCCAATAATTTATGCACAATTCTTTATTTCTTGTTTTGTCACTAACAAGTAAACTTTGGGTCGGGTAGTATTTTTTGCAAGTGAAGTAGTGAACCGGGTAAAAAAAAAGGAATGAACCAATTTAATCTGGTGAAGCCACGTGGCACTCCGTTACAAATAAGGGTATATTTGTTTTATAGTATAACGGTAGGGTCTTATATAACCAGATAGTATAACGAAGGGTATATTTAAACTATTTTTCGATAGTATAGGGACATATTTGACCTTTTCCGAATCATTTTTCGTGCTTCTGTTTAAAAGATAGCCACTTTTCCCAAGTATTTAAAACTTAGTCAAAATATAAACCATTGCGCAGAGACTACTTTTCGGGCTGACCATTGTAGGGTATGACTGGCTGACAGATCCATGTCAAGTGAAGATTAAAATCAGCGGTCGAAGAGTTTCAGAAGAACTGGGTTTCTATCGCTTGTCACACCTCCCTTTTTCCGGGTGATTGCGGAAAGAAAGGAGTTTTTCTAATTAAAATGACATTATTCGAAAAGGGATTGATTTTATTATTTAAGGAGTCGCCACTTGGAATTATTTAATTTTGATGTTCCAAGTCACCATTTTGTTTAAACCCTAATCAAGGAAAGTTTTGACTTTGAATTATGGTCTGCGAAACACAGAAAACCGGGTAAGGAATTCTGTTAATCCAGGAGAAGGTGTAAGACACTCCTCAGTTCCGTGGTTCTAGCACAATCGCTTAGCAATTTATACTTGGCTCAATTAATTCAGATATCTTACATGTTTTAAGAACTTGATGTACATTTTCATTTTTACCACTCTTAATTACTTGATTATCACAATTATGAAATTATTTTGAAACAAATCACATGTGTATTTGCTTTGTTTGGTGTGTTAAAATCATGTCACGCGTATGTGTACACGATTAATAATAATTTGTTATTGTTAAGATTGTTATGTCCAAAGTTGCGCGAACGCGTACCCTGGTTTTAATTTTAGAATTGTAATTATGTCACGCAAACGTGTACATAATCACGATAATTTGATTAATTAAGAGTGTGCCTAAGAGCATACTAACGTATTCATGATTTGTTTGTTTGCTACATTTGAGATTAATGTAAGGTCTTGAATTATGGAATTATTGTGGAAGAAATGAAATCCATTAGTTATGAAAGGTAGGCTAGCTTATGAATTTTTATTAGCTCTCAATTGAAACTTGTTGCCAACCAAAATGTCGTGGCTTATTCGAACCTCCAAGGCCTGAATTATCCAATTCAACTAAGTGATTAGTTGTCTTATAACGATTAAAAATCCAATAAGCATCTACATTCCCTTTAAGTTCATACTTAACTATATAGAAAATTCAGCAATCCATTTAAAGCTAAACTAACAGAATGTCGATGAAAGAAATATTCCCCCGAAAGCATGATATGACCTCATTGTGATTATTATTAGACCACATTAGAAGGAACTAGAAGACTAAATATAATTAAATTCTAAACCTACTCAACATTAGAATGAATCAGATTAATGAACCTTCATTTTAGACCAGAGCTCATGTGGCCCACCCCCTTCCAACTCTAAAATTAGGAGTCTACTGTCTATTAACTCTTCCTAATACCAATCAGAGACAAAATGAAAGCTTAAACATTTGAACTCACAGCCTAATACTTCACTTTATAGTCCAATACACGAATAGATTCTTTAAAACATGAAAAATTCTCTAATCACCACAAACCTTAAAGTTTAAGTAGAAATTGTGTCATGCCTTTCCCCCTACAATTTTGAATATGCCCAAAGATATCACAGTAAATAAAACCAAAAGGAAAACGAAGCAAAACTAATTTAATTGACACCTTAACCATTGAACCAAATAACACTCCTTACGAGAAAATTGATTGTAAATAATTCACAAAATAATGACTAAAGAAAGACTACAACTCACAGTTTATTGATTCAAATGATAAAACCCAGAAGGTAGATTAAGAAATTTCTAAATAGCATTATTATCTCTTTGGTCTATTCTTTTGAACCATCCGATTCCCTCATGTATTGTGAATAGAAATAGATGCATCTAAATACTTTAAATATTCTTTGAACTAATTTAGAGAACAAATATCGAATCAAAAGGAAACTTAACAACAAATCATTCAAGGAATATTATAGACGAACAAGGGATGCTCAGAAATAATCATCACATTCATTCTCATCCAGTACCATTAAGAAAAGGGAAGTGGAGACAACAGACCTTTAGGAGATTTTAGAATGTATAAGTGTATAGGTTTAAAATCGGGCCTACCCGATTGTGCTATTTGATCGAGATCAGGAGACTGCATCGAGGGTTAGTCTCGTAATGGATCAGACCAAAACACAAAGACGAGGTATCGAGTCCAAGGATCGAGGTGCCTGTCAAGATCGAGGCCAGCAGCGTTCGAGATCAAATACGACAGACTTAGAGCAAAGCGCAATAATGGAAAAGCGATATCTGTTACCGGCCGGAGATCATGGCGTAAATTTCTGAACAGATCAAATCAGGGACGGTTATCCAGTTAATCGTGGGATTTACTTCTAGAATAGAATTGTACCATAAATAGGATTCCTCTACTATATAAAGGGGATCCTAATCATGTTGTGAACACCTTACGTTCACATGGATCAAAGCAATACAATATTCTCTCTTTAATTTACATTCTCTTGTGTTATCAGTTTGTTGCATTTTAACTGTTCTTGCGCAACTAGCTCAAGGGTATTCAAGCTCGAGGGCTAAGCTCTGTTCACACACTGGTTCGCTTTATATTATTGTTAATTTCTATTATTACTTTTTGCATTTGTCAATTGATAATAGGTGAAATCACGTATCCTTAAAACCACATTATAAGTTTAATTGTTATCCAGTTTTTAGGGTAAACAATTTAGCGCCAACCGTGGGGCTAAGGATAATAGTGATTGCATAGTATTATTCCTCATAACACACACTGCTTTTATGGAAATTTAGGCATCGACCCTGAAAATAGCGTCCGCAGAGACGCCCGGCTGCCGACCAGAACACACAAAGCGATGAAGAAAGCGGGATTAGCCTTCTAAGGTTATTTGAAATATTGCAGACTCAGCAAGCTGCGATAGCACAGCTCCAAAACCAGAATCGAGCACCAAGAAGAATTGAGCTCGATGCATCACAGGAAGTTATTCACATGGTCGAACTGTACCGGAGAAATCGAATGATAATAGGTCGGGAACTGATCCCGCCATCATGATAATGCTCGAGGAGCTCACCAAACGGATCGAATCAGGAGAAAAGAAAATTGAGGCTAATGATAGAAAGGTAGAAACATACAACTCACGGGTTG